AGCAGGAACGGGGTTGGGATTCAGGGCCTGGACTGGCTAGCTCCAGTGCTGATGCTTTCACACTGCAGTTGCCACTCCAAGGGGCCACTGTGAGGAGCTAATAGATTTGAGTGCCTTTTGAAAGGTAGAACTTGCTATTCAGAGTGGCACTGTTACCCTTTTATACTGATCAGAGGGAGCATGTGCATGGCTGGGTGTAGTCTAGCTGTCAGTGGACAGCAGTCAATGGAGTTACCCTATTTGTTGCGAGGACAGTGGCACAGGGTGTTTATCAGGAGAAGGGTCAGTTTTCCGTGGGATGAGGTAGGAGGCATTCTTCCAGGACCTGGCTGGACAAAATTCAGCTAAACAATACCTCATTATGGCTGGGGAGAACTCTGGACCCTGTGGTTCAGGGTGACCTTTCGGTAACCTGCACAGCAGCTATAATTATGATAAGAAATATATAAAATGAAAATCTGTAATAAGTTTTTTCTGTGTTTGTTACATATTTACTGGGTACCAGCCACTGTACTAAGTGCCTTGTACTAGCAATCTCATTCAGTCCTCAGAATGATGCTGAGTCAGGGACTCTTTTCCTCTACTGGAACTGAAGAAAAATGAGGGGCAGATAGGTTGTGACTTGCCCAAGATCTCATAACAAGAGAGTTGTGGAGTAGGATTGGAACTCAGGTCTGCTGGTCTCCCGAGTCTACCTACCCAAGCACCGTCTATTTTATCTCCACTGGGTCAAGCCAGGCAGCGAGCAGGAGCCCTAGGTGCACCTGGGATCCAGACCTTGGCATGCTGCCTGGCAGCCCTGGTCTTCTCCTCTTGAGGGATGGGTGGGCAGGCAGGGTGTCCCCAAGTCAGCTGCATTCTCTTGAGGCTTGTGGAAGGCTGTGCCAGTGGTGGCCCACCTCCCAGGGTGTTTTAAAATAGAAGCAATACCTGGAAAGCCCAGCTGCCCTGTGTGAGACATTCATGGAAGGGGGTGGGAGGACAGATGCACTGAGAAGACAGACCTACCAGAGTCTGGAGTGGATCTGGAGGGGCAATCAGAGAATATCCAGATGAATGGATTGTGGTTACACTACCACTTATTGAGCCCAGGCATTGGCTTTGCCAGCATCCTGGAGATTCAACCAGGGCCATTCTCCTGGGCTGCCACTTCTGGTGAGAAAGTGTGGGGTACGGGTGTAGGGAGGCTCCTGATGGCGTTGGCCTCGCATACTGGCTTTCAGAGCAGCTCTGACCTCCTGCTGGCGAAGTTGCTTTTCCTGGTCCCCAGAGTTAGGAGTAGTTGCTTTTGCTCTAATCCCTGGCTGGTCTGATGCCCCTCTTATAGGCTGGCCCAGTTCTGCCCTGACAGACTGCCTAGAATGGTGTTAGAAATAGCAGAGCCAAAGGCTTTCCTACAGTTCTCCCTTCCTAAGGGGAACCCGGGATGGTGATGGTGAAGGCGATGATTGCTGTGTTGGCTGGGGTCCTTGCAGGGGTCAGATGTACACTCCCATGGGTTAATTAAAGAAAGCGTGATGAAAGGATCATTTGCAAAGGTATGGGCAGAGTGTGGGGGACCTGACAAGGGGTGTGGGCCCCTTGGTCCTTTAGAACAGGAGGGGGTCCTTTGGCAGGAGCTGTGGCGTTGGGTAGAGGAAAGTCACTGCCCACCTGAGGACCAACAGGGAGGCAGCCTGGGGGATGAATACCCCAATTGCACTCTCCCATCTTCTGCTGGTGTCCCCTATTTGCTGAGTCCAACCCGTAGCCCACTGAAAACAGTCCATAATGATCAGCTCTTGGGGCATAGAGCAGGACGGAGGAGGAAGGTGGATCTGGAGGGGCAAACAAAGAATATCCATGTTAATGGATTGTGGTTACACTGCCACTTACTGAGTACTCGCTGTGTGTCAGA